GGCTTTAGAGAGAATTTCAAGCCCTGTTCGACTACTGGTATGTGTTACCAGGGTACTTTGTTGCTTTGCGTTTCTGTGGACGTTTATCACCACATCTTACTACTTGTTATTCTGTACACCTCAGTATTATAAACAATTGTATTCACTCCAAACCAAGTGTGCTAGGAACTGTTTGGATGGAAGAAAGGGGAAAGGACATACATGGAACAAAAAGTTAACAAAAAAGACAAAAAAAAAGAGAAAGGGAGCGTAGTGAAGATTGGAAAGGTACTGGAGAAGGCAGAACAAAGATAGCTGTGGTGACAAAGTCCATTGCTTTGTTGCTTTAATGGTTTGCCTCATCCTGTTCAGGTGCTGGGCCATCCCTTCATGTACCGCTAACCACAAGCACACCAGGTATGGCCCAAGCATGGCCACTGTTACTATTGCTTAGAGATCACTACAGGTGTATAGATTGCACGAGGGAAGTAGATGTTAAGTAGCTAATAATGCTCTCATTATCGATATATAAAGCTGTCTGTATTAACACGATGATAACCCTGTGATGTCATAGCCCATGTTTCCTGTGAGGTGCCAACATTAGCTGTCTGCTGGGAGATGAAAAGACCTAACAGAAGTGGTTGTTGAGGTTTCTCAGGTGCCAACTTTTTCATCAACGGGCAGACTGTACCTTAAACTTTCAAATTCTTTTGTCAGAATGTTCTGTTTTCCTCCTTCTGCTAGAAAATTTTTTTTTCATGTCTACTGGTCTCCTCTTTACCTATACAACTATCTCCTGTTCCACACCTTTAAGGAAACCAAAAGGAACTGCCACAAAAGATGATAGAAATTATAATGTTGTAGGTATACATGTAGATGATGGGAAGGCTTTGTTAGCTAAAGCTTGTTTCCTGGTGTATGCCAGTATGCCACTAACATACAGGTACGTAGTGAGCACTGTTTAAGTGGGTATTACTAACATAGTTTTGTTAGTTTCTTTTTTTAGCACCATGTTGCAAATGTTTGTAGCTGATGTTAAGTAATGATTTCACTTACTAAACTTCTTACCATGTCACCAAGTTAAACATAAAACTGTACCAGGTGTAACAAACCATTTATGTGAACTCCCAGGGAGTGTCTGGTGACCTTAGATGAACTGGTGGAAGTCTTGAAGAAGATCAAGAACATTGACACCAAGGACATGGCATCCGACCAGAAGTTGGAACACATCGCCCAGATGTTGGATGATGACCATGATGGACAGATCCGCTTGAATGAAGTGAATAAGGTAAGATTGGAGCTAATCTGACTACAACAATATTAGCCAACACCTCATGAAAGTCAGGAGGATTGGGAACATCTCAGTCCTGTTGATTTATGTGTATGGGCTAACATGGACCCTACTATTGTCTGTGAGAATTGTTTGTTACCTTGGAGTTGGACGCTGAGTTGACTAGTTTCCATAGTGACAAAGAATCCTGAGCTCCTATTGGTAGTTCTTGGAATGGGAATGGGCATGGTTAGAGGCTTAGAGCAGTACATCAATAGAATATCGGCAAAACAGTTTTCATTGGATGTTTGGTCAACGTTGCATCAGAATTTTGCCTGTTGCACACAATATCTTTTCAGACGTAACATTTTGAAACTACTGTTAGATTGTTAACCTTATATGCTCCAACACTACCTTATATGAGACCTTCTCGCAAAGTGCTATTCACAATACATTACGAGTATCGTGCAGTACGTTCTGCCGATGTGCTGGTTAGAGGCTGTCTCTCTGATGCACAATGGAAACACTCCACGGGATCCATGTTTGTTCCTGCAGGCGATACAGATGATCCTTGAGGAGGACGTTGACCTGACAGAGTCCCAGCTGAGGGAAGTGGTGAAGCTGCTCCATGCTGAGGAGGATCTTGAGGAGAAGGAGGACCAGGAGAGGGAGAGACTGGAGAAGGAGAAGGAGCTGTGGGATCAGCAGCAGCCTCGTGAGGAACAGAAGCAGAACTAGACACAGGACTGGCTGGCTGGCTGACAGTCAGGCTGGTCTGGAAGTAGCTGTGGCTAACTTGCTCCTTCACTCGGAAGTAGAGGACAATAAGTGCTGCGGAGAAATAGAAAATAAAACTTACTCCTATGTGGACCCAGAAAATGTTAGACAAATTTTCATGTCTATTGTCTGGCAGATGAAACCAGGTACATGTATCATTATTAGAGTAACCTCTAGTGTTCATCTTGGTACGAGGGATGATAGAAATTCTGACCCCCTGCTTATTTCCAGCAGGCAGACTGTAGTCCAAGCTACAGGCTGTCCATGTCACTCAGTTCTAAATGATACTTAAAAGACATTAAATCAATTGTACATTGATGTACAGAACCTCTATTTCATTCTGGTGGTGACAACGGACAATATATATGTCAGAAAATATCTATGTATGAAACAATAGTGTGGAAACACATGGAGACAGGATTTACCAAAACTATAATAAAAGCAGAGTGTACATACACTGACCATGAGTGAAGAATGTGGTTTCAAATTATTGTTATAGCTTTTGAACAGAGAACAAATGGAAAATTTGGGTAGTACAAAAAACATGTAGTTGGCAGAGCTAGAGACAAACGAGTATGGAAAGACGGGTGAGGATATTAATTTGTCCTGTCGTATTCCCACTACTTTACCCCTAATCCTCCATGTGCAAATGTCTACAATAGCTTGTGTGGGTGTTTAGTGTACATTTCTAATGATTACAACAAAATAACTTATATACCAACAGTAAGGAGTACATGTATGAATATGTGGCACTGACAAATACCAGTATGTGAAAGTACAATGGGTAAGATTTTTGTCTGTTAAGAAACAAAAGAATACTGTGCAAAGACTGGTGCTTACTCTATCATATGTTTTTTGAAAAGGTATATTAATAATTTGGTCAAAAAAGTTTTTTTTACATCTTTACAAGGTTACATGTATGTTTTCAGAATCACATTGTAAATAGTTATCACCAAGTATGACATGAAGTCATAACAAGTCGTAACATGTTTGCAAAATCAATGTATATATTATGATGCTTTCAAGGACTAGTTGCTGTTGAGAGATGGACTTTCATTATGATTGCTGTGAAGTGTGGAATACCTTTTTCAGAATGTCTATGCTTGTACATGTATGTAAATTATAATGTGTGGTGGGCAATTTAAGGTGTTTGATGGTATCGGACACCAAAGTACATTGCAGTATATGACATTGAAGAGCAGTGCACAAATACATGTACTGTATGTGGAAAGGAGAAATGTTTCTTAAAATTTGAGATTCAAAGTTATAAGGCCTTGAAAAAAAGAGATACAGTTATCAACTCCCAAAGAACTCTTAAACAATTTCTCCCCCATAGCAAAATCAAAAACTTGCTAAAAGCCATTATTGGATTGTATATCTTGTTGAAAGAATTATTATTATTATTATGATAAGAACATTAACATGTTGCTGTTTCCCTTCTGTCACAAATTTTTGTACTTGAACTTGTGTAAATTGTATTTATGAAACCAGGGAGGTTAAAAATCAAAGTTGAATTAAAGCTCCTTGATGAAACTGAGTTTCTTATGTGTTCAAAGCATTTATATGCTTGAGTGAAAATAAAAAGATTTCTATGGAGATTTAAAAAAAATATTATATCACTTGGTCCATTAGATGCATATATGATGCCCCTGGAAGGCAAGGCATATTTGATATCATGTATTATTTTCTTGTTGATGAACCATTATTCCAAAGATTACTTATCTGATTTTGTGTACATGTGTGTCATTCAGTTTGTATATCTGTGACTGCATTGTCCCTAAGTGACCTTTAGTGTTACATGTTATGAAATGTCTACCCTGGTCCTAAAAGCTCTTTTTCCTGACAACTGGAATGATTTGTTTATCAATCCTTTATTCACAAACTACATATAGATGTAAGAGTGACGAAACGTATCCCCTTGTTGAAATGTGATGAACAGATTGAGCAGAACTTCTTGTCCCACAAACTGTACTTGCATCAATGCCTCTAATGTAAGGTTATCAGCTTATCAAAAATGTTGCAAAGTCGTCTAGATTGCATACATCTCAATATTTCTCTCATGTTTGATGTTACCAAAAGAACAGGATAAAAAGGAAGTGGCTGTAGTCATTACAACCACATATCTGTTGTGAACTTGAAACACGTGTAGAATTTCAATACTTGTCATGTTGACGTCTGATCATCATTAGCTTAAAACCACAGAATTTACCCAACATGCAATATTGGCCAATGGTGAAGGCATGTTGAATTTTAGGGTGCCAACAACATGATTCATACATACAGGGGGAAAATCTACATGTAGTAAAGATTGTATTCAGGTATGACACATGTAAATGTTGCAGAAGAAAAAAATGTGTTGAAGTGTATTTTGTCATTTGATTCCTTAAACTTCCTGTCTTTATTTTAATGGTAACTATTTTGTTCTTTCCTCTACTTTGACATGGGTAAATTGAATGTCTTTAATACATGTATTCCCTGTGCATTATAACTCATCTTCTACATAACTTGATTACATGCACACAACTTCTGAGACATTGATATAACTTTGGGATGAGTGTTTGGCCAGCAACACTTCTTGTAAGTCATTGAAAATTAAGGTCTTTAGTATCAGAAAACTTATGCAAAGAATGCAAAATTAGTTAGCATCAGCATGTTTCTCAGTCCTGCCTTCTCATTTTCATTTCCATACACTAAGTCACCCAATATCACACATTCAAGTGCAAAATTGCTGAAGTACAATCACTTGAAACAAGATACAAATACCTGAAGTTAAAATGCTCGGAAAATCATAAATGTATATGGTTATGAGTATTTTTGAGACATTGCAGAATGGGAACCGCTTGTATATACTCCATGGAAAGCCTTACATACATGTCACCATCTAAATTCTGTGTCATAGACAACTAGTCACCATTCATGATCAGAAGAATAAAACATTTCTGTAAACCTACTACCTTACCCTCATTTTTATTGTGTGGATGCAGATTAGATCAATCAATCAATTTTATCAATCTTGATAAAATCTTGGTTCAATCAAGAAGTACACGCACATACAGTTACTCAAGGAACTAGATATGATTCTACAAACGGTCAGAAGTTTCATGTAGTTCAGTACAAAATGTAGTTTTCCTTACAGCCATGCAAATCAGAAGGGTATACTAGTAGTCAAGCAGTAACAGCTCATTTTGCTTCAAACCCTATTAATTTAATTAAATCTCTGCAAAACTGATCCTTTACAGTACACAAGCCCTTTTTGCCAGGAATGTTGATAGGTGAATGAACTCCACGAACTGTCCACCAACATGTGGACAGTCATTGAAAGGTCAGGGACACCCAGAATTACCTCAATGATGTCAGTGATGAGTAGCACTTGGTAGACAGTCATGGAGTTAGTTATGTTATGTGCAGCTGCTATAACCTGTATCTTCGTAGGTTACAAATTATGACTTGCAAACTTAATTCTGAAAGAAAAAATTGGATAATGCTTAGTGCAATTATGAGATTCAATGACATCATTTGTGCAAATGTTTTAACTATGGAATATTAAAATTATGTCTGACTTATTATCTCCCATCAAGTAGTTTCCATGTTGGGCATACTCTCACTAATAGCATTATAAATCAAGTGTAAATTTGGTACACCTGAAAAGTACACCTGAACAAGCAGGGAGGGGCTTGACAGGTGCAGAGTTTTTAGGTCAAGTATTAACCGCGCCACCTGGATTACGCAACCAAGCAGGCAAGACCTACCCAACTTTCTAACACTGGGAAGATTTTGTGAAAATGTTAATTCAGATAGGAATATAAGGTCAAAAAGGGCAATTGAAACAAATTACCTTTGATGATAAAAGGTTCTTTACCAAATCTCTTGAGCACAAGTCATATTTGTATCGATATTGACATTTTAAAAATATTGCACCCCTAGTAAGAATAATATGTTGATGTCGTCCGATTTGGAGGTATACGCGACTGTAACATTAGCCATGATTGGTCCATTTCACCGTAACGTAGGCATATCTCATTTTATAGCCAATCACAAGATGTAGCAGAGCCATCGCCGATCACGTGTACATGACGTCAGGGTTTGCCCATCGCCATCTTCCCACCCTCCTTTCGCAATCTGAGCACTTC